CTTGTGTCCTAGTGCTAGGAGAATGCTGAGAAGCCCAAGTTTCACATGAGCTTACTTTCAGGTTATGCACAGATTGCAACCTGAAAGAGCCTGTGTCCCATTAGTTTTGGTGATGAAAAATATTGGGGAAAACTGAGATTGGGAAAATCACTGATGCTGGAATTTAGGTAGGATACCTATCTAATATATCTGTTTATCGTTGTAAATAGGTTGAGATTTAGAACGTCTGAGTGAACACCTGACTTCTGGTTGTAGCATTTTGCAGTGTTTCTTGAGCATGGACCCCCATTCCTCTCTGGGATGTTATCTGTCATGTTTCCATTGAATCTCCAGCTGTATTACTAGGAGGGCCCTGTTGTTGAAAATCTCACCACAAGTAGGGGTTAAGCATGCTTCCACAAACACCAGAGAGGTTTCATGGGTCTAGGTGTTAATAAAACCATTTGTTGATGAGGTTTGGCTCTATTGTCTATTCCTGGAAAACACAGATAAGAATACTGTTCTGTGTGAAGAGAATGTGTGAGCCTTGCCTTTAACAGCTGATTTAATTTTTTTAATTAAACATTGGCAAGTAGGCACAGTCACCTGCTTCTGTAGTGGCAAGTGTCATGTCAGCATCAACACCTTTTGTACTACTTGTTATTGTGTGTACTGAGAGTACTTCTTGCAGGACTGAGCATCTTCATAGCAGATACTACTTCTCCCTGCTTTCAGCTTTCCACATCCGATTCCCCTTATTGCTGTTGAGGTATCTGTTGCCATCTTACTACCACGTACTTGAAGACTACCAGTAAATATTTCAGGAAGATATGCACCTGTCCTGCTCACATGGACAAAACCTAGTGTTGGTTCTGTAACCTCCTAATTTTTTATTTTAAACAAGAATGGTAAATGAGAGTCGGGGGAAAAAAGCTCTCATTCCTAAACTGGTAAAAGAGAATGATACACAGTTGTCGTGGTTTAATCCCAGCCATCAACTAAGCAACACACAGCTGCTCGCTCACCTCCCTCCACCCCCAGTGGGATGGAGAAGAGAATCAGAGGAAAAGACAAAAAAACTAGTGGATTGAGATAAGAAGAGTTTAATAATTGAAAAGAAATTAAATAAAATAGCAATACTACTACTACTACTATGTAATGAAAATAATAAGAAACAAAATTCCAGATGATAATAACCGCTCACCACCCACTGACTAGGCACCCAGACAGTCCCTGAACAGTGAGAGCCAGAGCTGGAGACAGTGTGAACCAGAGAGACCCAAAAACCGGACCCCCAGCCCAGTCCCTCCAACTCACATACTGAGCATGATGTTTTATGGAATGAAATACCCCTTTGGTCAGTCTGGGTCAGCTGTCTGGGCTGTGTCCCCTCCCAGCTTTTGTAGAGAAGAAACAGGGAACCCAGGCACAGTATCAGAAAGTGAAGAAATCCTTGGCTTGATAAAAACATTGTTTGGCAACAACTGAAAACATTACTATGTTGTCAACATTTTTCTCAGCACAAATCCAAAACATGGCCTCCTACTAGCTACTGTGAGGAAAATTCACTCTGTCCCAACCAAAACCAGAACAATGGTGCATTTGCTTTCACTTGTCTTCCCTGTGAACAAGCACAGTAATGTATGTTATCACATAAACCTTTGAAACAGAAGCTGTAGAGATCAGTGAGACTGAGGAAGACACAGGCTTTAAGCATCATTGTAAAAGTTCAATTAAAAAAAAAAATTGGTAGAAGTCTGTCAATATGTGTTATGAAAAATGCCTTTCCAATTCATTTCCTTGAGCTGAGAAGCTTTAAATGAGTGTATTAACAATTCTGTTTTCACACCTCTGTAAATTATGCTCAAACGATGCCCAATTGTTGTTAAACAACATAAAAATTTGATGTGTTGTCAGTCCCATTGCACAGAGCAACACGGTCGTTTGCTCAGCCAATTTCTGCTGCAGACCCAACACTGGGGAATGGAATAACACAAACAAGGTAATGAGTTTTAAACTAATTATGAGGTGACAACAGTATAATTGAACATAAGATAATGAGTGGAAAACTAAGGTTCATCGAATGGTTTTCTCAGCCTTAGAAATTACTTTGCTCAGACTTAAAAATTAGTTCTCAGATTTATGGATTTAGAGACCTCTGCCAACTGTTGAATGGTCAAGAAAACCATTTCTACGCAGAGCCATGATTAACAGCTGACAAACAGTAATTTTGTACAATATTAGATCCCCCATGAATTTACTGGAATACAGATCTGTGATTATTTTGGGTGTTTAGAGCATTTCTACTTGTTCTCACAATGTCTGTATTTTTATAAGATGGAATTTTTTCCTCATTGTTCATGCAGAACTTCTTAACCTCTGCAGAACCTTACCGTGAGAGGTGTTCTGCGTGCCAGCATGTTCCCTACAGTCCTGCTATGTCAGGGAGCCAAGGACTTGGCCGCACTGGCCTTTCCTCTGCTGCCCTGTGTCTCCAGCTTCCCAAAGGGCCAGTGCAGCTTTGAGGCCCTGCTGCCTTGCCAGGGGCACTCTTCAAACCTGTCATAGAAAGAGAGAAGAAAGCTTGCTTTCGGTTTTCTTTTTTTCAGGTGCACTAAAGTCACTACTTTAGTCATCTTTCTTTAATGCAGTGCAAATGTTAGCAGTGTAGCTAGCAGACATAGGTATAAAGGACTAAAAGAAAATTAGACTGCAGACTGGTTTTAAGAGTGGGTTTTTTGTTTCTTGGGTTGACTATACTGCTTGTACCCCTCTTGTGGTCTGTGTTTTCAAGCCCTCTACAAAAACTGTTGCTCTGATGCAGCTTTCACTGAAGAGACCCAAAACTTACTGACTAGCGCTAATCTGTAACTTAATCAAGATGTTAGTTTTACACTTACCTTCTAAAACACTGTGGGTTGCCTGTGCCTAGTTTCTGGTTGCACCACTGTCTTTGGGCACGATGGGATGGAGCCGTCTTCTGCCTAGATGGTAACAGGGTGGATTTTTAACTACAGCCTGCATAGCTCTAGCTGTAGACAAGTCCTTGACATGCCACGATCCTTTCTGCCTGAAGTGTACGCTCAGAGTTATTGTACAGGCAGCCTGACAGAGGGAATTGATTTGTTTTGATTCATGATTAAAATGTGACATGAAGGTACCCCGCCAGACTTCTGAAGAGCTTGTAGGCAGGTAGATGTCTTGGCTTTGAGAGAGACCATGGCACAGCCCTCCATGGCACACACCCTCACGTGATGCATACACCTGTGAAGAGAGTCCCAAGCAAGGAGCTGTGGGAGGTGGACATCCGAGCAGGGGTAGGCACACGTGGGCTCGGTGGCAAGTTGTCCCTGTTGTTGGTACAGCTGCGTGCTGGCAGGGAGAGCTGGGGGCGCAGACAGGGAGGGCTGCCGGCTGCAGACAGAAGCGCTCAGCAAGGAGGAGCAGCTGCAAAGTCTGGGAGAGTCATGTCGTGTGCATGGGGGAAAGTGGTCCATTACACTGTAGTTTAGCAGCTTGGTATTGCGCAGTCCTTCCTCTCCCTGAAATTACTTCAGGCTTTTTTTTTCTTTTTTAAATATAAATACAGGGCTTGATGTGCTTCGTCTTCTTCCCTTCTCTCTAAAAATCCCAAGGCTTTTGAAATTAAAATGTTAACAGGGTTTTAATACCGTATTTATGGATTTCCTTAACTCTTATGTGTATTCCCAGACACAGATTTCTAATTTTTTGAAAAACTGCATTGTGTTATACTATCCAAAATTATCTGTATGAAATCATGACTTCATATTACATAATTTCTTTGAGTTTTTTTATAGGCGTTGAAGATGAAATTTTATCAAATACAGAGCTTCCAACTTTGTCAGAAAGTGTGGTTGTAGTTTTGGGAAAGGATATGTTTTCATGTAAAGTCCTGAAGAATTTAAAGAGATGCCCAGCATACTTCCTCTCTGAGACTGACACTCCATAAATAACATCTCATTGAGCTACCCATCTAAAAAGGCCACCAGAGGAGATCAAACTCGGTTGTTGGGGCTATGAACGTGTGTCATGGAGAATTTATTGTCCGAAGTGCTTCTCCAGTTTCTACTTTACACATTTATGATACTGTTAAGTGTTGCCATTTTACTGCAGTTTTTGATAACGTCAAAGGTAGCAGTTGTTAACAGCAGAGAGGATGTATAAATTAAGTATTGCTCTTTGACATAAAGGTGTACTTGAGAAAGAGCCCCTTGGTTTGGATTTTATTTATGTACAAGTATTTTTACAGCTGCCTTCTACATGCGCATATGTTCCCATGCCTATTAATAAGAGACCAGTGCTTAAGTTTATGACGCGTAGAAAACATTGCTCCTGTCTTTACCGATGGAATGATCGAACAGGCTTGTAGAGGAATGAGTGATACAGGCAGGGTCAGAGCTCAGGCACGACTCCCAGTTCTTGGACTGAACCAGTCTCCCCCATGACACCAGGTTTATAATCAACACGATGATGCAGAATCTTCCAGGGAATTAGTTGTTCTACAGCAAAAATATTTTGTAATCAGGAATATTTAAATGGTTTGGGTTGGTTTGTTTTGCTTTGTTTCTGTAGGCATTTTATCTGCTGCAGGGCTGATTGTTTAGCTCTGGCAAGATTTTATTGATTAAAACTTTTTAGTGAATGTGTTCAGTTATGTCTGCATATGGGAGCGACTGCTTTGAAAATGTTTCCCTAAAGCCATTGTGATTTCAGGTCCCTATCACCAGGCAATGCAGTTCCTCTTTTTCAGTGGCTTATATAATCCCAGAAGGCATCTGGAGCATGTTTATGTTAAGTCAACTATGAATGCAGATGTACAGAAAAGATATGTTATTTACAAAGAGCCGAGTATGCTATTGGCATCAGCCTGATTTCTGGCGTTTTTTTATGACTTTCTTGGGTGTGAAACACAGATGTCCTTAATAATGAAAGCGATACCTAGTGAGATTTGTGTTCACCAAATAAATATTAAATATGTTGGGCTTTTTTTTTCCTTTTAGATCCATTTCAGTTCCTCTCCAAAAGTGAACCTGCAAAGGAACAGACAGTTCAACCAGCTTTAGCCCGGAAGCCCACTGTGATCCGAATCCCAGCTAAACCTGGGAAATGTAAGTTCTTCTCCCAGATTGTCTAAGAAATCTCTGTCAGATAATCGTTTTAACTGGGACTTAATATTTAGTGATTGAGTTGCTGTTTACTTGCCGTATTAGCTGCCAAAGGAATCCCGTGGTACAGTTGACAAGACAGAGGAGCTAACGTAGGCGCTGTGGTGGGAGGGAGAAATAGCTGGGAGTCATGTTCCCCTCTCCGTGTCCTGCCTCTCAGCTGCCCTCCCTTGCGCTAAGCGCGATGTCCCTCAAACGTTATGGAGCTAATGGATATGAGAGGTGAAATGGTGGGGGGTGGGCAGATCTAAAGGCTGGCAGGGAAGAGCTGGAGAAGACCCTTTCAGCACAAGCAAGCTTTTTTCCTCAGCCAAACCATAGTGCTGAGCTGTACCTTTGGTCAAATGGACTTCTGTTCTGATATCAGGGTATTCTAGTGCTTCTCCCCAGCTCCAGGGAGTGGATCCCCCACTTGTCAAAGGAACAGCAGCGTGTATTAAACTTTGCTTCAAACCCAGCTTGGTTGGGACTCAAGCATGGTTTTCGCAGCTTACATCAAAATAGTTCCCTTGAGCCTTGTTAGATTTGAAATCTGTGGCCATTTAAACAATAGTGTTTTGGTAGCAGCTGAGGGAATAATAAAGGCATGCAAGAACTTGGATGCAAATCCTGATATGTTCAGTTTTGTGTCAAGGTCTTGACCATAGTTCTCTGACAGTTTCCGTATCCCCGATGCCTTCCACCTCTAATCCTGTACAGCTTTACAAATGACACTGACAGTATCTCAGAGTGGGAACTTATCAGAGAGCCACAAGGTCTTTGTGTTGATCTTTGTCTGCTGGAGTACATACTTGCTTCTGTTTAGCCTTCTGGTTTATCCTCAAAGCTTAGGGAGAAATGTCATAAGATAGCTCTTAGAACTCATATTTCAAAATCATGTTTTACTACCCTGAGTAGGTGTAGAGCCAGCTTGTAGCAACTAAATGTTCAAGAAGCTTTTCTCCTAAGGTTTTCTCTTATTATTTCCCAAGTCCCCTTCTCCCACCACCACCCCCCAGTGCTAAAATACTATGTTTCCTTTTCCTCTGCAAATGTGAGAAATACAGTGGAAATGATCAAAAATGCAGCGAATAGTGAAGATAAAAAGCTATGAGGAAAAGTCTTTCTATTAATACCTGATCATAATGAAAAGTTATTTTCAGTTGGAAGAACATGTTTATGAACTAGTGTAAAGAACCCAAGACATAATTCCTTCTCCACAAAGGATATTGTAATTTCCATTTAAAAAAAAAAGACGTGACAATTTTTTTATTTTCCTGAGCTGGATTCTCTTTTGAATTTTGTAGATAAATGGTCCCTTGCTGCTCTCTAGTGGTAATTGAACTTTCCACAGGAGACTGCTGGTCATGCTGTACTTTGCTGCAATTGTCAAGGGGGATGTGAAGGACTGCTTTATGGGATGCTGTGGCTGGAAGATTAATGGGATCTGGAGGAACATGAGCAGGTTCCAAGAAAGCAGAGTAGCCTTTTGCCAGATAGGAGATGCTGCAGAAATGTAAGAGAAGTACAAATGGGCCAAGATATAACATGGATATAGTAGGAATTACCTTATAAGAGAGCCACATAATCTCAGTACAAGGAGTCTTTCGCTGTTGTGGGTGTGGAGGGAGGTTAATTCTGTTAGGAATCAGCACAAACCACTAATAAACAAACAAGCAAAAAAACCCAAACCACCCAGCACTACCAGAAAGGAGACAAACCCAGATGCTTAAGAATTTGAACTCCAGTAAAGCACTCATTTAGCATTAGCATTTTTGTCAAGATGTGATTAGAAAGGAAGCATTAAACTTCCACTTCAGTTATTACACTTAGAAATCACTGGAAATAACACCTGCGTTTGAGTTCTTGGGTTGGGTTTTTTTTTGGTTTTTTTCCTTCATTTCACTTACTTTTGGTCTTAGAAAGTATAAGGCAAGGAAATTAGACCATCTGTGTATATACCACGATTTGAAGTGGTGTGAATAAATAAATCTCTTGTGCTTTTTATGTATCAGTAAGGTATGATAAGAGGTTTCTCTTGCAATTACTGTCAGGTATTGGTTTTAATTTTCATCCATCATATTAGCTTAGAAGAGCAATGAACTTTTTTTCCCTGTGCTTGGTCACTAGCCACACGGTAACTGTGACCTGGTCCTAAGAATAAGGTATTTATCCTTGAACTGATCCATTTTTAAACACCACACAAGTGTTTTAGATCATAGGAATGCAACTGAGGTGTTAAAAACAAACAACACTTCTCCTTCCTATGTATTGTTTCTTTGTTGAGAGTATTTTTCATGAAAAGAGTAACTGAAAGTTATCATTTGCATAGAATCTCTCCTCTTTTTTGTTAACAGTCTTTAAATGTCCAGGCTCCCTACACATATTTTTACATAACTCCAAGACTGGCTGGAATTCAGAAGAGCTGAAGTGTCTGAAGTTCTTTGCATGAAATGAATTTTCTTGGTGTACAAAGACATTGTAAAATAGACAGCAAGGTTCCAATATGTAAAGACAAAATGATTGGTAAAAACGCTGGCAAAACCCATCCAAGTGCTTCCCAGGTTTCAGTGGCAGAGATGTTGAAAGCAAATAGCATATAACTAGCAGGTTTTTTGTTCTTTATTGAGACTCAGGACATAATCACTCTTCCTTAGCAAGAGCTGTACTGTTTCCTCTTCCATGTCCAGACTATCAAAGAGCTTCCATCTCTGTTTTCTTTCTGTCACCCTGAATTTTCTAGCAGTCAACCATTTCTTTTCTTGCCTTTACCTTTCTGGAGATTCTTCCATGCAAGTCTCCTGATCTTTCAGGGTTACTTGAAATAACCCTCAGCTGTTTTCCAGCCTGAAGGATATTCCAGGAGCTGACAGCTGAAAAAAGTGAGCCAGTTTAGAAATGTGGCTGGGAGATGGTGGTGGTGTTTCAGGGTATCCAATAATGAGCCTGACATTCCCAGGGGTAGAAACTCTTCTACTTGTCTAATATTATATCAACAAGTACTGCAGTTGAAACCCTGAAACCCTAGAATAACTTGCTGGTGTCCTGAGAGTAAAGTGAATATCCGTTATGCGGGATGGGAAGTACTCCAGAAGTCAATCTCAGACTTGCAATGTTCCCTTCATGCCCACTTTCTCTTCACTAGTCTTTAAGTGGTCCTGCCCGTTAGCTGCTCTGGCTTTGAGGAAGGAAGTTGCGTTCACAAAAACAAGCCCCAGACTGAGGTGGATTCTCTTACCTATTGTTGGTCTATGCAATTAAGTTATTAATTAGACTTTCATTTGGGAACTTTTGGTTTTTTACAGCTTCACATGAAATCCCACATAGCCCTCCACCACTTAGGGAACACCTCTGATATCACAGTGGGAAAGCCCAACAGTGGTGACCTAGTAAAAAACGTGGTAAGTTAGAACTGTTATCCTGTATTACAACTTCATCTGCTTTGGTTAATGGATCTCTTGTGACTCTCAAGCATTTGTAAAGTAAGTTATTTGAAGGACTAAAGGATGAAAAGGACTACTCAAAAATATAAAGCTTTTTTCTTTTGTGTTCTCTAATTTAATTAGGTCATTTAGACTGTTGTCAGTACTGAAAAGCACTTTGTTGATTTTACTAAACTTTGATCACATCTATCTTCAATTATCTGTATTTAGCAGCTGGAATCAGGATAATCTACAGTTCACTTTGAAAAACACTGCAACGTGGGTCAAGGTCCAATGAGATTGACATAGTGAAATGTTGTTGAAGTTCTTTAGAAACATGTTTTTTATCTTCATATACACAGTACCTCTCTGTGTCTGTGCTAATTCCCAGGCAGAGGAAACTTTTCTGTAGATGAATGAAGCTTGCTTTCCTCAGCTCTTTCCTTCTAGTTGTTTCCTACTGGTTCTGTCAGAGCCTGAGTATTCCACCTATTTTGGAAAGTAAGGCTCTGCTCATCACTCCTGAGCACGTAGTAACGGTAGTCATTGTAGCTGTATATCCTATATGCCCTTTGACAGAGGATTAGAATAAACTGGAAAATGACAGTAGAATTTCCAAATATTGAGTGCTGTGATGGCAAAAATGGCAAAGAATCTTGTGGAAACCACAGGCAGTAAAAAGATCCAAAGCCCTCACTATCTAGTGGTGGACAGCTGCCAACAAATATCTTTGTGGCTACCTCTGCTGATAGGATAAAGGAGTTTTTAAATGTCATGATTGAAGAGACTAGTCATAGAGGTGCCATCTTTTTCTGGATAATGATGAAAAAATAATTTCCAATACAAGATTTCAAATAACGTTTTATACAGCGCAGCCCCAAAACTTTCACAATGTCATCCAGGTTATTGTGACAGGCATATGTAAGCTTCAGAGGGTTTCTTTAAGAAAAAGACTGCATAAAATCCACTGAAACATTTCAATCTTATCTTTGGAAAAATAAGAGCTTCTGTGCTTCTAAAACTAGTATTTTTTGTCAGTGGAAGTGATTAACCAGCGACAGTAAAAGTTGTGGACCATAAGCAGCAGTTGGCACACATTTCTTCCTTTTAACACAGAAGAGGAAAATTTTTGGTATGAGGATAACATCTTCATCTGAAAGTGGCTGTGCTGGGTTCAGCACGTGGTATTTTGCTAGCCGGAGTTAAACCACGACAGTCCTACATTGTTTTCTTTGTAATCAGGATTGTTTGGAATTGGGAACATTGATTTGGGGACTTAATCAAGGGTCAAAATTTTGTCACAACATACATCCAGGTATTTTCTTGTTGGGAAAAATCACAGAAATTGTTTACCAGTTTCAAGCACGTGGATCCCTGATTAAGAAAATAAGACTGTTCAGACCTGTTCAAAACTACTGGTTCAAAAGCATACTTTTGAACCCAGATTCAGCACTCTGATTTAGCACACTGTTCCACAAGCAGCTGTGCTTGTTCAGCGGAGCTGGCACTACTTTCTGGCACCACTTTCTGGCACTGGGATGAAAATAAACAGCAGGGGGCAGAAAGGATGGTAATTCGTTAATCCATTGCTGTGGTCCAAACCCTTCAGACATAGCACATGTTCCCCTCTTCTGACTCTGCTACAGGGTAGTAATCTCTGGCAGAGTCAGGATGTGCAGCTGAAAGGAGTGATGCCTTCATCTGCCAAAGCAAGATTCACCAGACTTTATGTGTTAGATCTCTAGGAAACATACTTAGATGCCTTCTTTAATGAAAGCTAATATTATTTGCAAGAGTCGCTGTCCTGTGCGAGTTGCATAAATGTCATGTTTTCTGCTTTAAGCCTGTTCAAAGTGTTTCATCTGTCTAAGCTGAATCAAAATGGATCATGTAACTCCAACAGCTGGAATCCTGAGGGCAGTGAAACTGTACATTTGTCTGACTCTCCTGAACTGGGATTTTAAGCCTTGACTCCCACGTAGTAGGGA